AGCTGGACGAGAAGGCCCTGTCCAACCTGCAGGCGGACTGCCGGCGCTTCCTGTGCAAGGCTGTGCAGAACTACGTCAAGTGCCTGGAGCTGGGGGAGGAGCACGACCTGTGGGTGTTCAGGCTGTGCTCCCTGTGGCTGGAGAACTGTGATGTCAAGGAGGTCTGCGACATGATGAAGGTAGGCCCCTCCTTCCGCGGGGAGGAGGAGCAAGAAAAGGCGTTTGTCCTCCTGGGGAAAGCACTCCGCAGAGGTCAAACACAAAAGTTTCTCATTCCACCTATGGTTACATATTGTCCATGGGTTGTAAGGCCTGAAGGCAGATGCTGGACGATAGTTGTTTTAATTTCCATGTGCCTGGGGACATTGGCATCAGTGTGCTGACGCAGGAGCGTCGATCTCATGCATGACATGTTTGTCCCTCTGCACCTAGTGCTTGACCGTACAAAACTGTTTTCACAGGAGGGCGAGCAGCTGCAGCTCTGCAGAATAGAGATGCGCAGTTTCTGTCTGACTGAGGCAGACTGACCTTTTAGTTTCCACAAGGAAGCAGAACTGCAGGGATTTCTGCAGGCCAGCGACAAGGAGTGTCAGAGTGGGAGGTGGTGTTGCTGTAGAGTAGCTGATTGGCAAGATACACGCAGCAGTGCACGGTGTGTGAGAGAGAAGGCTGCATTGGTACAGACCGTGTGCCTTTCCTCTGCTCCATCAGGGATCGTGCTGGTTTGACTGTGCAGTGCTCTTGATTGAAAGAGTGTGCTTCATTCGCACTGCAGGAGGGTGTGAAGAAGATCCCGTCCTACAAGTTCCTGCCCCTGATGTACCAGTTGGCTGCGCGCATGGGAACCAAGACACCAGGGGGCGCTGCAGGGGCTACAGGTTTCCATGATGTCCTCACAGAGGTAACACGGTTTGGCAGTGTGGGCCTGGTGTCTTTTCTTTAATGAAATGTGTCCTAGACCAGCACCTTGTATTGTCTTATAGCTCCTAGCAATAATGTTTTAATAATATATATGTTCAATTCTTCAGCCATTGCTGAAATATCAAGATGCACCTTTCAGGCAATGGTTCTGACCAGGACACTGTACTATAAAACGGTGCCGTTCTTCGGATGAGATGTAAGACCGAGGTCCTGACTCTTTGTGGTCATTAAAAATCCCTGGGCGTTTCTTGAAAAGAGTAGGGGTGTTACCCCGGTGACCTGGCCAAATTTCCCATTGGCGTTTACCAGTCATGGCTTCCTAATAACCCCCCTCTCTGAACTGGCTTCATCACTCTGCTCTCCTCCCCACTGAGAGGTGGACTATGGCTGCTGGCACATCATCCAGGTGGGGCTGCACACTGGTGGTGGTGGAGGGGATCCCCATTACCTGTAAAGCACTTTGAGTGGAGTGTCCAGAAAAAAAATATATAAATGTAAGGAATTATTATGATTAAAAAAGGTTATTATGGGCGTGTGTGACACACTGTGGCCGTGTCTGACACCCTGTTACTCCCACTGAGGGCGTGTCAGAAATCCAAGACAAAATGGCCACGAATACAGAAGCTGTGTTACATTCTTTTCATCACAACAGCCTGTTCAGGGGCCCCGAGTACATTGATCATTGGCAAACACAAGTGTAGCATGCTCCAGGCTATGCTTCCAGACTGAAAGCAGCTCTGGTCCCTAACAGGAAACCCCTTGTGTCTGTCCTTATCTCCCGGGTGGAGATTCCACTTCAGGCCCAGCAAGGTGAGCTGTTTTCCCACCCTTCCCCCTTCAGGAAATAAGATCCTTTGTTTGCATTCATCCCCGCTATCTCAATAAAGGATGTAGGGATTAAAATCAGTTGAAGTGGTCTTCTCATTCCTGTTCTTCAGGTTTGATAAAACTTAAAATGTCCATGTGGTAACACTTTTGAAAGCTGAAAATTGTATGACAAGGTTGACTCTACCTGAGAGTCTCACAGCACTCAGACACTCACTAGTCTCTTCTTATATGATATTGCTTCTTAAATGTTCTAGGGTCTTGCTTTTGTGATATAAATAGCTAAAAAATTTGGACAGTCACCACTTTATGGCAGTGCTTATTTTGAAGTGTTATTTTTTTTGATTCCTTAATGGCATTAGCTTGCCATGAGACATTATATTGTCTCGCACTGGGACACGGAGAGTTCTGTGTGTGGAGGTGCCCAGGGCTGCGTCCTGTTTGCACCGCTGTTTGCACACGGAGCAATAGGGCAGTGGGGCTGCTTGTGCAGAGCTGATCAGTGTGCTGTCTGTGCAGCCCTGGGGCAGCTCTCTGCTGCCTGAACTCACCAGCTTGTCTTGCCCTCTCTGCCTCTCTCCTGCTCTCGGCCGAGCCAGCTGATCAGCCGGGTCTGCCTGGACCACCCACACCACACCGTCTTCATCATCCTGGCGCTGGTCAACGCCGACAAGGACGAGTCCTTCTCCCAGCCAGAGACGTCCAAAAGCAAGAGGATATCCAAGAGCACCCCCCGACAGACCTCACAGCTGGACAAGGTGGGCTCCACCTGGTTATGAAACTGACACTGTAATTTAAACATAGAATTCAGGGATTTGCAGTGAAGTATATTGTGGCTGAATGAGGTTTTCACACCCTTCAATTTTAATGAGGCAGGAACGGTCCGCAGTCGCGCTGAAGGTCATCGATGTTGTTAGGAAACGCAGAGCGCGGATGATCAAAGGGATTGAGACACTGTGTGATGCCTACATTTCTTTAGCCTACATGGACGCCTCTCGGTACAAAAACGAGAAGAGTAAGTTATCACCGGCTGCTGGCTGGCTCTGATCAGAACAGCATACTGTCTTACACAGTGCCTTCACAAACTGACTCATCACGACTTCCTAACTGTACTGCAGGCATTCAGATCCCTGCAGACCAGCCCATTACCCGGATAAAGGACCTGGAAGATGTTGTTATTCCCACAGTGGAGATGAAGGTAAGCCAGTAAGCCAGGCTGGGTTACAGCAGGGCCCCAGCCTGTGAGCACATGCAGACAGTGAGCTGGGGCCGCGCTGCAGGACTCTGCACTCGGGTGGGAGGAGGGCTCTGGCTGTATTCCTGTCCTGTCTGAACGTCTCCACAGAACGCAGACCTCAGCCCGTTCCTCTTCCACTGATCTCAGCCCTCCTCCCTGCCACGGGCGGCTCTGATGCAGCGCGTTTGTGCCCACAGGTGGACCCGTCTGGCCGATACGAAGACCTGGTGACCATCCGCTCCTTCCGGCCTCGGTTTCACCTGGCGGGGGGGGTCAATCTCCCCAAGATCGTGGACTGCGAGGGCTCGGACGGGAGAGACCGGCGCCAGCTTGTCAAGGTCATTCCCCCGGAGATCTATCTCAAGCTCTGCCGGATATTGCGGTTCTGGACAGTTCTGTCCCAACTCCAATACTTCAGAGCCTAGTGGTTAGAGTAGTGGTTCAGGCTTCAGCTGTGCGCTCCGCCCTTTGCAACAGATGCAAAGCCCAAGTGTTTCAAGTGATTCTCCAGCAGAGGTGCATCACTCCGGGCACCTGCAGCGCTGAGTGACGGGAGCCCGCACAGCCCACGGCGCGGGGATGCTGGGATTCGGTTCTCCGCCTGTGGAGGGAGTGACCGAGTCTGTAAATGTTCTGCTATTTTGCTGTTCTCTGCTTCGGCAGCACTGATTCATCAGTCAAACCACTGACACCCCTTTGTTATTGGAATTTGAATTGACGAGGAGGAGAAGCTGAGTGGTGTGTTCAGCTTGTTCATCCCTTCGGAGCTGGGCTGATTCTGGTGTTAATTATTAACAGAGTGTTTTGCAAATGTGCCGAAAGCCTTCAGTTGTTAAATCTACCTCACAAAGGACTTCCTCAGAAGTCAAGAGCATGAGTCAGTTCATCAGCTCTTTTTTTACAGCTTTTCTGGTTCCATACTTGTCTTGAGTTTGCTTATTTTCCTTTCTCTTTTATTTCCTTAAAAATGTCCAGCTTCAGGAAAGAAAAATACTTTTACTGTATTGTTCACCATATTTATAGGTGCTTTGGTAACCCTGAGGTTTCAGGACTTAGGACCTGTCTTTTTAAGGATGTTTATGTATAAAAAGTCTTAGTCTAGTTTTAATATGACCATAATAATTATTTCTTAATAGTACGGCTTAGTAGTAACTTGCTAAATTACATAAAAATCTTTCTGTGGTAGGTCTGTAAGAAAGCTATTGCTACATGAGCTTCAAACTGGGTTTTTCGAACATGAAAAGAGCTCAGTGAAATTGTAGATTTTGACAAATATCTTTCAGGGTGCTGATTTAAGTTACGGTAGCTTTTATTTGTTAATTTTAGCATTAATGGTATAATCCTCTCCCTAGTGACAGACTCAGCTGTTAAGACGTTAAAGAAGCGAGAGGGCTGTCTGGAATTCTGGTCATGTCACATCTCCTGGAGGCTGTGGCATTCTGTGAAGACTGGCCCCTGTGCCTGCGCTGCAGTGGTGCAGTGTGTCTGTGCCGCAGAAGGGCCGAAACCCCCGCTCACAGCTGGCCTTCATCTCTCCCCGGCCAGGGCCAGGACGATCTGCGCCAGGACGCTGTCATGCAGCAGGTGTTCCACATGTGCAACGTGCTTCTGCAGCGCAACTCGGAGACACGCAAGAGGAAGCTGACAGTCCGTCGGTACAAGGTACAGACCTCCTGATCGCTGGATCCATGCTTGTGTTTTAAAAAGATTTAGCAACATGAGTCATGACGCTGTACCACCTCTTCGAGTGCACAACTCCTAGCTGAATTTTCCTGATAAGGGTGGGGCAGCGGGGTTCTTTGGTACAGTGCTGTTGCATCGAGTCACATGTTCTATTCGTATTCATGACACACACCTGACGAGCTGTTTGTGGTGCTGCAGAGCACATCTAGATTCGATTGCGTCACTCATCTCTTGGGACACTTTTATTTCTCTGTTTTTCACATCCTGATTGTTAAGTGATGCCAGTTACTTCCTCAGTCTCGCTGACTCAAGTCTGAGAGCAAGTGTGATGATGCCTCCCACGTTCGCTGCAGAGGATGGGTCAGTGTTTACCGTGGGTGCAATGAGCTTGGGCCGGCCCTGTCTGCGGCACGGCCTGCTCGGGAAGACGGCCGCGCTCCGGAGGGATCCCGCACTTCTCTCAGTGGCGTTCCTCTCCCCAGGTGGTGCCGTTCTCCCAGCGCAGCGGGGTCCTGGAGTGGTGCTCGGGCACCATGCCGCTCGGAGACTTCCTGGTCGACGCCTCGAAGGGTGCCCATAAGAGGTTCAGACCCAACGACTGGAGCAGCATGGCCTGCCGGAGAAAGATGAATGTAGGTTTCCAGAAGGGTTCCCGGGGACGAGTGCCCTGCTCGGGGAGGCTGAGTGAGTCTCTCATTTCCATAGCACCAGCAGTGTCGGCCGAGCCAGACGCTGGCATGAGCGATCGAGCCTCTGAGCTGCTTCCTGAAGGCAGCGAGGAGAACAGATCAGAACGTTTCTTTAATGTTTCCCATAGTGGGTCTCGTGTGTAGAGCAAAAAGTGTCCAATTTAGATCCAGGGACGTTATACTCTAGCACTGCAATACACAAGTAAGACTCGTCATTTAGAATCTTGTTTTCGGTTTTGGTTGTTTTATCTCATATAGAATATTGTACCCATATACAGACAGGTTAAAGAAACTAAACCTCTTCAGGCTAGAAACGAACTGGATTCCAGAATGTGAAATCCTAAGGGGTCCAGACAGGTTCAACCCAGCACTTTCAGCACCAGTCACAGCTGTCCCAGTGGGAAACCGAACTGGGATCAAACTGGCATGGAGCTTGGAGAAGCCCCATGTCTGTGCTGAGCTGTGGCTCTGTGACTCGTCCCCTGCAGGAGGCGCTGAAGTCTGGGTTCGAGGGCAGATTGCGGGTCTTCCTGGAGGTGTGCCAGAACTTCCGCCCGGTGTTCCGGTACTTCTGCATGGAGCGGTTCCTGGACCCGGCGGTGTGGCTGGAGAGGCGGCTGGCGTACACCCGCAGCGTGGCCACGTCCTCCATCGGTGAGCCCCTCTCTCCGCACGCCTGCTCTCCAGGACTGGGGGGCTCACCTCCGCGGTTCCCCTGCGTGTCAGGCCGCCATGTCTGCGGAGCTGCATGAGATCACAGCAATGTGCTTCCATTCATGGAGCGTCTCTTTTCCATTTAGTGTCATACCGATGGCTTTCTCACCAGCCCCCAATTCATGGTTTTGTTTATTTTATTTCCATTAGTATAGGAAGCTCTCAGTGCTGTCTTCCCTGATCTTGTCGTTTACTCTTCTGTTGCGTGTGTAACACCGTCTGTGTTCTCGATTCCTGAGAAGAGCTACTGTATGCTCTCTTCGCAGTGGGCTACATTGTTGGGCTGGGGGACAGGCATATCCAAAACATTTTGATTGACGAACAGACAGCAGAGCTGGTGCACATCGATTTAGGTGGGTGAAACCGTTTTTTAATCTGCTGCTGTGGTTTTGTAGTTCAGTTGTATCTTGGACTTTAATGTTCTCGGGTAGAAAGTAGAACAGATGCAGTGTCTTATGTGCTTGTTTTTAAGTATATGCAGAAATAGTCGTCACCATTGCAGGAACAATTCTTGACTTTGTTTTTTCACGCTTCCTGTAAGTAAAGACGCTCAGTAAAGCACTACTTGTAAGCCTTGTGGTCAGATAAACTTCTTCTGTTCAACCATCTTTGAAAATCCTAAACAAAGAGGGTTTCATACCGTTGTGTGTGCAGGAGAACTGCAACGCTACTTATATATTTCAGGGTTAAACAGAATCCGCATTGATGAGTGCATTTCAAATCACAATAAAAGTAAAATGTACACCGTAACTTGTAAAACCTCCAATTCGCATAATAAATTGGACAAAATTTCCAGATATGCTTCTTCTCTCTGTTTTCTCCCTGCGTCTCTCCTCAGGCGTAGCGTTTGAGCAGGGGAAGATTCTGCCCACGCCGGAGACCGTACCCTTCCGGCTGACCCGGGACATAGTGGACGGGATGGGGATCACTGGAGTGGAGGGGGTCTTCAGGAGGTGGGAGCGTGTTCTCTCTGTTCACCTCTCTAATCTTCTGTCCTTCGGATGGACACAAAACCGAGGCCCCGACTCTCAGAAAAAGACTAGGGGTCTTGTCCCAGTGTCCTGGCCTTTACCAGCCAGGGCCTCCTAATAATCCCCATCTCTGAACTGGCTTCATTACTCTGCTCTCCTCCCCACTGAGAGCTGGTGTGTGGGGAGTGCACTGGAGCACTATGGCTGCTGTCACATCATCCAGCTGGGGCTATACTGGTGGTGGTGGAGGGGAGTCCCTTTTACCTGTAAAGCGCTTTGAGTGGAGTGTCCAGAAAAGCACTATATAAGTGTAAGGATTCTTCTTCTTAATCTTATTAGCACACCTGTGTGGGGAGTCTCTCTGGCACTGAGGAAGCACTGATAACCTCACCATGACAACATTGTTTTAAAATGTTGTCTCAGGTGCTTTGCTATTCATAGGCTTAGACTTGAAGGCCATTTTAGTGTAAAGGCTGTTTACTTTTTCCTTCGCCTTTAGGTGCTGTGAAAAGACAATGGAGGTTATGAGGAGCTCTCACGAAGCTTTACTCACAATAGTTGAGGTAAGTTTCTCTGTGAAGAATACACGTCAACTCACTGCATGGAGTCCAAGGTGTTGAGTTCTTTTTATTGTAGCTTTCACATCAAAACCTTGTCTCTTCCCTTTCGTCTGTGGATCTTGTGCGTGTGGGCACCTCGCTCTTCAGTGCCTGGTGTCGGAGGGGGTTGATCATTGCTGAGTGCTTTCCAAAGCAATGTGCCAGTTAGTGCTGAGGTCTCTGCCCGCAGGTGCTGCTCCAGGCCACTGTCTTCTCCCTGCGGTTAACCGCTGGTGTCTGTGTGCAGGTGCTGTTGTATGACCCTCTGTTTGACTGGACCATGAGCCCTCTGAAGGCCTTCTACCTGCAGCAGCAGCTGGAGGAGCAGACCGAGCTGAACGCCACCCTCAACTCCACGCTGGGAGGGGAGGAGCTGGAGTCTCACCGCAAGTCCAGGTACAGGCCACAGTGCTCCACGCAGTGCCACCACACCAAGCACTGCAGAGAAAGTCCTGTAGCTCCCATCCTGTGCCCCTGGGGATCCCTGAGGCGCCTAGCCGGGGTCACAAAAGGGTCTTGCAGTGGACAGCTGAAAGCCAATGTTTCTGCCCCTTGAAATAATTGGTATTATCATTTTATTTCATAGTCGGAGAATAAAAGGAGAAGGTCACAGCTCTGTTTTTGTTTTCAATTTACAGCTTTCCTCGGGAAGAAAGCAAGTCTTTCTTTTAAACACCAGCCAGTTTGTGGAATAATAATTAAAAAGTTGAGTGTGATACAGTAATTAATGATTATCCTATCCTGTTCCTGGAAGGTTTGTAATTCATTGACATGAGTATGCAGGGCGTTGTTGGGTTTCCAGTCAAGTGGTTTTGAAACTCGGTTTGTGGGCAGAGTTTCAGTCCAGGGTCAGCTCTGGTGACCAGTTCGAGAGGTAGAAGCTGCCGCTGGCTCCTGTCCAGTCCCGATGTGCTGCAGTGGTGCTAACCTGAGCCGGGCCTGTTTCCTCTGCAGCGACACGCAGAGCTTCAACAAGGTGGCAGAGCGGGTCCTGCTGCGACTGCAGGAGAAGCTGAAAGGGGTGGAGGAGGGCGCGGTGCTCAGCGTGGACGGCCAGGTCAACCTCCTCATCCAGCAGGCCATGGACCCCAAGAACCTGAGCCGCCTCTTCCCCGGCTGGCAGGCCTGGGTCTGAGGGGACCCTCCGCCGACGCCCCCCACCAAGAGCAGCTGCGCCCCTGACCAACGCCCCCCCCCCCCGGGCATCTCCGCCCCCGGCCAGACACTCTGCCTGATGCCCCTCCCCAGAGAGCATCTCCGCCCC